AGTTCAAAATCTACCCAACGAAATTTAGATTGGGTAAATTTTTTAACTTCCTACAGGGTAGTTGATCACAGATCGACAGCTGAAAGTGGTGGAAACACCACACACAAGTAGATCAGCCTCAAACTCTAGAAATCACCTCAATCAACAATATGTCATGCAAGTAATGTAAATCAAGCACAAGTGACACAATGATTTATCCCGTGGTTTGGCTCGCCACCAAGGCTTGCCTACCCCCACGTTGTTGAGGTTAGCCACTAAGGCTTAGAGCTTTTTAGCCCTTCCTCATTCTCAAGTCAAGAGACTTAACTCTTGAGATGAGGGGTGAGTTTACTAGCTTCAAAAGATGGTTACAAACCTCCCAGGGCTGCCACACAAGTTGGCAAGCTCCGCGGGCGACGCTCTAGCCGGCTAGGAGCCAAGATCCAAGAGTAACAAACACAACCACCGGTTAAAACGTGAACCAAGTGCTCTTTAGACTTTGGGAATCGATGGAGCTGCTCTCTAATCGAGTTTTGGACCCTTATCCCTCAAGGATTGATGGGGAAAATCAATGGATTTGCTTGGGGGCTTGAGGTCAACAATGGAGTAAGAGAGAGAGAGAGAGAGCTCCTGCTCTGTTTTGGGTGTACTGAAGTGAGGAAGAAGAGAGCTTGTTCGGTTAACATTGGGGAGGAAGGGGAAAGGTATATATACCCCCAGCCCCCAACGGTCACTTTAAATTGCAGATAGCCGTTGGGGAAGAAAAGGAAAGATATATATACCCATGGCCTACAACGAACACCGCACCTAAGAGGTCGGGTGAGACGAAGCCCGCGGCCTTGAGGTCGGGCGAGACAGAGCCCGCACCCAAGGGTCAGGCGAGACAAAGCCCGTGGCCTTGAGGTCGGGCCAGGCGGAGGATCGTGACCTCGAGGTCGGGCGAGACGAAGCCCATGACCGAGGGGTCGAGCGAGACGAAGCCCGTACGCAAGGGTCAGGTGAGCCAGAGCCGCGACCAAGGGGTCGGGCAAGCCGGATCCCATGACCAAGGGGTCGGTCGAGCCAGAGCCCGCGACCAAGGAGTCGGGAGAGCCGGAGCCCGCACCATGCAAGACAGAAGGGTAATAGTGAAGTATAGACTGTCTTGGCTGTGAATCTGAGGATGCATGTGGTTGTTTGAGCACTTGGTAGCACATATTAGCTTAAGCATTGTGCCCCCCTTTATAGTACGGCTTTTTCTATACTCAAATTCAATATATAAAAGAATTTAAACCTACTTTGAGTTTAAAGTCATCTACATTTATAATTGGGGCTCCTTCATTTCGTGTGGCACCCTTAAATATAAATTCCCTATTTATCATCTCAATAAATCTTATTAGTTCTCTAATTGCGTGGTCATTATCACCAAAACCCACAATTAAGGCTTGATTGCACTTTCAATTCTTATTTTTGGAGAAGTCAAAAAACTTAACTTCGACCAAATATATAATAAATTATTAATACTTATGATATATAATTATTATCATTAGATAGATCATTGAATCTATTTCCATAATAAAATTATTTGAAGATATAAATGTCACAAATTTTTTTCTACAAATCTAATCAAACTTAAGAAAGTTTGATAAGCACAAATACCATACTTACCCTTAAAAGGACACAAGGGGAGTACATGATTTTCAATCCTACACAATCGATCTGCAAAGTATTGACAAAAAAATCACATCGTGAGTGTTGCTCATAAGACCGCCATTCTATAACCATTCATCAACAGATGATGCTTCCCAAATTGGGTAAAATTGCAATCCTATCGCTGCAGAAGTAGGAATAATAGCATCAGAGATAATATTGTTTTCCATAAAGTAAAGAACCAGAAACAGGCTCATGAATACCATGAATATCTACTGGAGTTGCAGCGATGAAGCCGATAATAAATACGAAAGTTGCGGTCAATAAAGTAGGGATCGTCAAAACACCGAACCATCAATGTAATTATGTAAAGACGATTTTAGGTGCTAGTCATCTAGTTGAAGAAGCGTCCCTTTCTTTTTCTTCTTTTTTAGGAAAGTGTACCAATCTTCTTTTGCACATGACGAAGCTATTTTTTGGGAGATACTAGCATCGGACTTTCGGACAAAAGTGCATGCCCGGATGCCTGCGCCACCTTCGTCACGCGTGTCCACAGAAAAGGCCACGCCTGCTGCTACTTCCCCCTTGCCCCCTCCTCACTCTTTGCGACCGCGAGTCCGGACGCCCACGCGTTCGCTGGAAACGCCACGCCTGCCGCTCCTTTCCCCTGACCCCTCCTCTATCTTTGGGCGGGCGGGACGCGAGAGTCGGCATGAGGACGAGCACGCCCCGTCCATAGGATCCCCGATGCCCAGGCCGTACCCCCATGACTCTACCTCTGAAACATGAAACACTTGGATGCAACATACGACTGAAACAGATGAAACATTTGGAATAGACAATTGAAATATGTGTGTGAAACATATGCAACATCCAGATAAAATACTTACAAATTGCAACATGAAAACACTTATTGCAACATAAGACTAAAACAGCTGAAACATTTTGAACATACTCTTGCAACATAGGCGTGAAACATGTGCAACAACCAGATAAAAAACTCTTGCAACATACGTCTAAAATAGGATAAAATATTTTGAACAAACACATATAACATGCCTCTAAAACACTTGCTACATATGCAACATTCCGATCTACTTTTGCAACATCCATACGAAACACTTGCAATATACCTCTGAAATATCTGAAACACTTGAAACATACATTTATAACATATGGGATGGGAGGTCAGGGCCGGTTGATTCCAGCCTTGGGGCATGAGCACACCACCACGGACCGCACTCACAGGTGCCCTTGGCTCGGCCGGGGGCCGACCTGAAGCACGCGATGGCACCACGAGCACTAGCAGAGGCAGGCGGCACGCTCAACGGCACGAGAGCGAGCGGTGCAGGTGGGCGCGCAGTGGGTGGGATTGCGGGAACAAGGAGCGAGAGGCACAGGTGGGCATGCACGACGGATAGGAGCGAGAAGCGAACATCACAGGGTGGGGCGCATGCGGGAAAATAGCTACGACGGCAAATGCGAAGTGGGATGGATGCACGATCGCGCGACACCGTGAAGCATGCAATGGGTGAGCAAGTGGGTAGATATTTTTTTGAGAGATAGATGTGGGAGACGCAAAGAGGAGGAGACAGGCTTGGTGGGCCGAGCAGGCCTAGAAAGACAGCGTCCGATCGAACGGACGCCCGCGCTGAGCATTACTGTTTTTTTAGTGGAACACGACGAAGCTGGTAACGCCTAGCATTCTCTGTTGGGGTTACTAAGCCCATTCAGCCTATTCTGCATGACTATCCGTAACAAGTAACAACAATCCTATGAGGCCCAGCTGCACGCGTTCCTGGACTGGCCTTGAGCCCTTGTCGAAAATGTGTCCATCAGCCCATCATTTGCACGCGCCCAGTCCCAAGTCCGAATTACAAACGGGTCGTCTGGTTCCGGCGGCGGCGGCGGCGGCGGCGGGGCGTCGAGTGCACGACACCAATTCTTTCCACCACCGTCTCCACGCTCTTCGTACTCCGCACACAAGCCCCTCCGACTCTGAGTCCGACACCATCTCCGCCTCCGCCTCCCGTCCCACCCTCGCACTACAAATACCCATACGTGCCATCCTCTGCACCCCCATCGCATCGTCGTTGCCTCGCCGAAGGAGCACGTCGCTCGCAGCAACTACCAGCGCGCCGCCCGACCAATCTCCAGCCGAAAGCACCAATCCCTCGCTCGCGCATCTCTAGCTCGATCCCGCTATGGTCGGCAATGGGTATAAATGGCCATTCGGGCCGCCCAGCCCGTCCCAGCACGGGCCCGTGCCAGGCACGGCCTGACAGGGCATGGCACGGTAGAGCACGACGGGCCGCCGGGCCATGCCGCCCTAGTCCACCGTGCCTAGCCGATGGCCCAGGCACGGCCCGTTGGGCCACTTTCCGTGTCGGGCCGGCCCAAAAAGCACGGCCTTTTTAACAGGCCAGGCCAGCCCGAGGCCTGCATCAGCAGAGGAAGGGAGAGAGGACGGAGGACGAGGTCAAAACGGCGGCGGCGGCGGGCGACACAGAGGGCAGGAGGCCCGTCTCCCGCGTCGCGCATGGGGAGAAGCGGGGTGCGAGTACGGTCGTCGCGGACTGGCCATCCATCCGGCCGCAAACCACCACGCCCAAGAGAAAGAGAGAGAGAGAGAGGCGGGGAGGGAGGCGCCACGCATGAGCTGCTTTCGAGTCGCGGGATGTGGCGGGCTAGCGACGACCGCCGGATCCAGCAGCAGGAACCAGGAGGAGGATGGAGGAAGCCAGATCCGTGGAGGATGGAGGAGGCTGCCCGCTCGACGTTGCTGCTGCTGCCGACCTCGATGCCGCGCACCCGCGCATGGTAGGAGGAGGCAGGGGCAGTCCGTGGGAGGTGACGGTGGACGCCACCGAGGAGGATCCTGCCGCGTGCAGCAAGAGGAGGTAGGGCCGTAGGGGCACTCCACAGAGGGGGTGGGCGGCACGCCGGTCCTCGGATCTGGATCCCGACCGGCGAGCGGAGGTGAGGAGCCCTGAGCCCACGTGCGCGCACCTGAGTGGAGAAGAAAGGACGGAGGAGCGAGCCAGGTGAGGGCGAGCTTGCGCATGGGGAAAGGGGGATGGAGGGCGAGCCAGGCGAGGGCGAGCCTGCACTATGTAGCCGGCCCGTGCGCTTTTATATGTGGAGGGGGAGGGGGGGCTGGCGGCGGCCACGCTGCCGAGCCTTGGGGAGGGAGGATGAGTAAGGAGGGGGTGGGGTAGGCCGGGCCGACCGACTCGAGCCGGGCCGTCGTGCCGCCCACGGGCTCGAAAGCAATGCCCAGCACGCGCTGCTCCCTCGGGCGGGCCAGCACGCCCCCACGTCATCGGGCCGGGCCGTGCTTGTGTCGGGCTAAAAAATGAGCTTCGTGCCGTCTGTCGTGATCAACTATAGCAATGGGTCACAAGAACAAGGAAGGCGGCAAGAAGGCTGCAGCGGCGAGGCGTCGGTGGGAAGGCCTCATTGGCACCGTCCGTCAACTTCAACCCCAAGGACGTGGACGGACCCGTTGGAGCTCCCGGACATGTGCGTGGCGGTGCTCCACGACAAGTTCTCCTCCGCAGCCACGCTGGAGGCGGCGTCAAGGCGTCGCTTCGTCGGTCTTGTTGGGCGCGTCGTCGTGCCGCTCGACGAGAGGCCACCGACGGCGAGCCCCTCGTCATCTTCGCCGTGTCGCCGTCTCCATCAAGAAAGGGAGCGCTGCCCCGGCGTTCGCCAAGGAGGCCCGCCTCGCGTCATGCAGCGTCGGCCTCTCTCGCGCTCACCCTCCACGGCGGCGGCGCCACGGAGATCTGGCCAAGTCATTCCCGATCTTGGCCCGAACGCTGCAAGAGCCCATCGTCCATGGACCCGGCAGCGGTGGCCGCCGTGCTCGACTCCCTCGGCCGTCACTTTCGCCCGCTGGCTTGGCACGGGAGGACGCGGAGCGGTCGCTCAAGGCCATCTGGGGCGTGGTGTCCCCGAACCCGAGCTCGAGGTCCCCCTACCCCCAATGCCGGTCCTAGGGTTTTGAGGGCCCTCTGACGAACTCATCACGACGGCCCCTCTCGATAAATTTTCTTAGGTAATATTCTAAAATTCTAACACCTGACCTAAATTACAAGAAAAACATGACTATATGAGTACAAAGTACTAGACAAAAATTGAACAAGGAAAAAAAACCTAGGGCCTAAACAATTTGGACATGAACTTATTCAAAACCAAGATTCACAAATCACAAAAAGGGTAGAAGGCAATAATCAAGATCAGATGTTGTCGTCTTCGTCAAGCCCTGCCTTAGCTGCCTGGTCGCTGTCGTTGTCTGGAACGCCGTCGTCTAGCTTCTGGAAGACCGGAACTCGGGCGTCGGTGTCTCGGTGATCTACACTGGTGATCGCGTGGTGAACTGGTGATCGGCACTGCGTCTCTCGCAGTCTCACGTCTCGCCGTCTCGCCAGAAGTCCGGAAGTCGCGACTCAAGATCGCTATGTGCGCGTGTGTGGGTGTTGGCGGCTCGGCTCCTTGCCTCCTCGAAAGAAAAAGGTCGACGACTCCTTTTGCTGATGGGCCGCTGCATCTTCTCATTAATTCTAATGGACTATAGCTAAAGGGTATGAAGTATTATATACTTGGGCTTGGGCCCCCATCCCGTGAGGGCCCTCGACCGTCGCACCTCCTGGCCCACCCTTAGGGCCGGCACTGCCTACCCCAAGGCGGTGGTCTCGGGCAAGGCGAGCGCCGCCCAGCTGGTGAGCGCGGCGCTCTCCACGTGGACGTTCCTCCTCACCACCGCCACCATCACGGACGCGCAGCGGAAGGCGGACCGCGCCGCCTGGAACGCGACCGTCGCGTCCCTCGCGGGGCTGCTCCAGGCCGACGACCGCGCCGTCCGGATGGCCGCCGGCGAGGCGCTGGCGGTGTGCGTGGAGCTGAACCTGACGCAGCACACCCCGCGCAAGGACATGGAGGCGGTGCAGGCCCGGGTGTCAGACCTGGCCGCCGAGGCCGGCGGCAAGGGCGCGGACAGGGCGCTGCTCGTGGAGCAGAAGGAGCTGTTCCGGGCAGGTCTCGGCGTACATGGAGCGCGGCGAGCGGCCCAAGAAGGCGCTGCAGACGTCGTCGGACCGGCGCAAGTCCATCAAGGTGTCGTCGTGGGCCAAGATGGTGCAGCTCAACTTCCTGCGGCGGTTCCTCGCCGCCGGTTCCTGAGCCACGTGAAGGGCAACAAGCTGCTCAAGGAGTCCTTCGACGCTGGCGCCGACGAGAAGAGCACGCTGTCGATCGCCAAGAGGAAGCTCAGCATGAAGACCAAGGACAAGGTGATGAAGATGAACTGCGAGCAGGCGTGGGCGGCCAAGAACGTTTACTGCATTCCTCAAGGTGGGCCGCCGGAGAGCAACAGGCCGGAACAGCTTCTCAAACTTGGCTGGCACTAGCTCACTTCTTAGGACTTGTTTGGATTAGAGGAACTTTTCAGGAATTTCGGAGTCTATCCTTTCTCTAGAAAGGAAGTGAACTAGGGCGCTTGGAACACGGGAAAAGCAAAATTCCCTTCCGAAGGAAACGGTGTGAGCTGTGTGTATTTTGGAGGAAAATAAACATCCACCTGAAATCAATGGAAATTAGGCGATTGGCGTGCCCTATCTGTCTCTCATCACGTGGCTGCTCTCGCTTGCCTGTTTCCATACGTTTTTCATGTATTATGGATTCTTGCGTTTCAAACATCCCTTCTAGCTATTTTCTATATTTTTTCTTTTTTCTATTTTATCACAACATACTTACCCATTTGTATATTTTTTTTCTATTCCCGTATTTTTTATTTCTGCATTACAAACGGGGCCTCAGAGTTTTTTTCCCCTTCACTATTTGATTTGATTGATGAGTATTCGAAAATGTACGACGTGCATTGTCATTATTACCAAGCTAATAAACAATTCAGTCCTTGTTTAGTTGGATGAATTTGGATTTTTGGACTACTTTAACACGTTTATTTTTATTTGGCAAATAGTGTTCAAACATGGACTAATTAGGCTCAAAACGTTCGTCTCGCAATTTTCCACAAAACTGTGCAATTAGTTTTTATTTTCGTCTACATTTAATACTCCTTGTACGGGCCGCAAACATTCGATGTGATAGGTACTGTAGCAACTTTTTAGACTTTGGGGTCCAACTAAACAAGCGTCATATTACCAGTAGTTACTCCGTACTAAGCACAAGTCATCATTACTGTCTATCGGTCTGCAGTTTCTAAAACTATTTTCTTCTCCATGACAGCTGGGGAGTTGTCATGGAATCTCAGGCCCTGTTTAGATTCCAAAAAATTTTGCGTAGTATCCGTCATATCGAATTTTGTGGCACATGCATGAAGTACTAAATGTAGACGAAAAAAAAAACTAATTACACAGTTGGGTGAGAAATTGCGAGACGAAACCTTTGAACCTAATTAGTCCATAATTAGACACTAATTACCAAATACAAACGAAAGTGCTACAGTAGCCAAAATCCAAAATTTTTTGAATCTAAACGGGGCCTCAGTTACAGGAGATGTTTTGGAAATCTTGAAATGGAGGAGTGGAGAGAGATGATGACCAAATTAGAGAGGATCAACCTCACAGAAGTGGATGACAAAGTTACTTGGAAGCTGGAAAAGTCAGGAAACTACTCCACAAGGAGCATGTACAGATATATTACTTTTGCTGGAGTAGTGGATATTAGAATGATGGAAATTTGGAACTCCAAAATCCCATTAAAAGTGAAAATTTTCCTCTGGATGGCATGGCATGACAGAATCCAAACAACTCAGCAATTGAAGAGGAGAAACTGGGATAAAGCAGATGTTTGTAAATTCTGTGACAAAGAGGAATCAGTTAACCATCTGCTATTTCAGTGCCCAATTGCAAGGATATTGTGGTGTTGGGCCAGGGACAGCTTAGGATGGCCGAGTGTGTAGTCTCTCACACGCCGTCGCCCTCCGCCGGAGAGGAAGACAGTGCACTGTAATTCAGAGAACGCACACAAGAGCAGTGGAAGACACTCGCAATTTGGTGCCGCAAACTAGCGCAGCTTTTCTGACTCTGTATTGCAACTTAAGTAGACAAAATTACAAAGCTACAATGTAGCCACGAACGGCCACGACGCTGCGACCTCCACGCTCCGCCATTGCCGCGCCGTCCCACGACTGGAGTATGCAGATCGCCACTACTTCTACCACGCGCACGCCACGACCTCCGACTGGTCCGTGCCATCCCACAGACGAGAACGCAATGCGCGCTGATGACCACTAGAGCTAGAAACAAGGAGAGCCTCTGCATGAACGCAGCATGCATCAGGCTGTACACAACACATTCGGCTTGGCTAAGACCGAGTTCAGTTATTGTCTAACAGCCGGAGAGAAACTAGGAGCTGAAGTGAGCCTGGATTATCTAACAGAGTGCCCCAATTTCTATCACAAATTTTCAAGATCTTTTTCTGGTACAGGGGAATAGGGATGATCATGAGATAGTGTGGTGGGTGATGGCGGCTGTGGGGTGGTATATTTGGAAAACTAGAAACGACTTAGTTTTTTCTAACATTGTGATCAAATCGCCTAAACAAGTAGCTTATAAGTCTCTTGGCTTTATGAAGCAGTGGATCAAGATGACAAGAAAGGATGGAGCAAAGAAGGAAGCGGTGGTGGAGAAGGTGATGGCAGGGATGGAGCGCTGGTGACTTGTGCTTAAAGCAAAGATATCTTGTGTTCTCCTTTTTAGTTGCAGCTCAAGTTTCTTAGGTTGTGTTTTTTTTTCCTTTCCTTGCGCGAATGTGAGGTCTGGAGGGTAGGTGCTGTTTCTGAGGAGGAAGGGTCTCTTTCTGTGTTGTCTGTGTGGCTGCAGGGTCGTGGAGTGGTTTTGTATCGGAACATGGTCTTTGTAAGCCTGTATCCCCGGTAGAACCTCTTATTAAAAGCCTGTTCGCTGGGTCGTATTTTACTTATAAGTTATGGCTTATCAGCCAACGAATAATATTTTTCTCTCACACCAAACCAACCAACAGTACTTTCAGCTATGGCTTATAAGCCAAATCAGCCCAAACGAACAGACCGTAAGCTTTCAATATAAGCTGGGCCAATGGCCTTTGGTCTTACTTAAATTGATTTTTATAAAAGGATTCTAGTTTCTGAAAACATTTCCGGCCTAGCCCGACTCGGCTACGAGACCACAACGTTCCATGTCAGTTGTCACAGCCCGACTATGGCTATGGACCTATCACCTATGATGCCTTCCAAGTTCTAACAAGGAAAAGTTTTTCAGATCAGCTAAGTCGGTTTTGGTATTTTGTCAAAATACACAATGGACTTCGCCTTTTGTGTTTCTCTTTTGAGCGAAAACATATATAGATCCTCTAATTTGAAGGCTAAATGAACAAAATGCAACTTTGGGGAAATTATCCGGCACAAACCGGCTTAGCCGGTTTTAGAAGGTTTTGCGCAGCATGGACGTGATGCCCGAAGAAACCGGTTTTAGAAACCGGCTAAATCGGTTTTAGTGGTCCAAGTCAATCAAATTTATTTCGATGGGAACTCATCCAATCACATTGGAAACTTATAGATTTCGTGTGGGGCAGGTTTTTTACTGGGATAAGATCACCCCCTCTATATGTATCAAAGGATCACAACCGACTGAGGTATTCATTTTGTAAACAATTGATCAAAGTATCAACCTACTACCCTCTTCTCCTATCTTTACTCGTCGAGAGAGGTGTTGGACAACAGGAGGTTGGAAGAGCTCCCTTGCTATCTAACACCTCTCTCATTCAGGTTTATATATAGGAGTTCTAGGTGGCCTTGCCGACTCTAGAGAAAAACCTATAGTGCTCCTCCCTGATGGGTCTTTTCGGAAGGTATTCTAGGCTTTTCGGGTGAAAAATGAGCATCAATATGCATAGCTGACTTGTTGGTCGACCTTGATGTTTTTGACCTCCCTCGCTGCATGTCTAGGTCGTATGCGGAATCCAACATTCTAGCCATTGTTGATTTGTGACCTAAATTCGTGTCAACACACTTTTTTAGTGACTCCACTGTGGTAGAGAAGAAGATCGAACATATCTACTAACAATATGTCTGAAGACAACGACAAGAAGATGAGAGATACCATCAATCCAAAGAATCTGGAGAACATGCTCTCGCCTTCATCGCTAGATCAACTCCCCCGACAACCTTCGCCAGGTGTTAGAAGCAAGATTCGCCACCGATCTGAAAGTGGTTCTTATTAGGAGCTGCAAAGTAGATCAGCATGGAGTTGTTACCTAATACATGAGTCTCATATTCGACGAGTCTTCTACTTCCACATCTACATCTATCACCCGAGGTAAAGAAAGATGAAAAAGTTGATGATCCACCTTCTATTCATGCTGAGTTTGCTAAGATGCTAGATGATCATAAGAAAGGAAACAATAATAACCTTCTTTCTGTTGTTAATATGCTCATGATGCGTTTTGCATAGGCTAAGATTTGTTGATAAATTAATTTTAGAGCCCTAGTTCATCCCCTCTTGGGGGCATTCGGTCCTTACATAGGCATGGTGGAGCGGCTTCAATCTTGGAGGAATAAGGGGGCAGGAGGTTGCAGAGCACGTTCTTGCCCTTGATCCTCGAAGCTTGAGTGCCTATTGAGTCGTGAATTGTGTGGAGCTCGACGACGAGCGCAGCGCTGCATGGTCGCCCTTGGTCTTTAGAGTCTTGTGCATCCATGACAGATGGGACGAGAGGTAAGAGGCCAGGAGCGGGGTTGCGAACAGCTAGAGGATAGAAAGATGTGAGAGCAAGGAGGGATCGGCGAGCCAGTGTAAGAAAGTGAACGACACCGTCGACACGAAGGGATAGATGGGGCCTTAGGAAAGTCTTGGGGGTGCTGCAGGGAAAAAAATGAAGGAAGGATCAAAGCAACGGCCGTGGGAAGGGTGTATGTGCAAGGGGGAGAGGCTGGAGGGAGCTAGATTTATAGCTACGTTTTTTTAAGATAAAGACTATAAACTTCGCCCTCTATATCCACATATATGGGATATATATAGAGTTAAAAGTTACATAGCCTTTTAAGTTTAAAGCGTAAAATTGAGCTCAAAACAATAAGAAAGAGAACTTAGAGACTAAGGCCCTGTTTGAAAGCCCAGTTTTGGGTCGAAACCGGTGTAAATTACAGGCCCGAATTTTTTTCGACGGAGGCCACTTACGTGTTTGGATGACCGGTAAGCCCAATAATTTTACACCTGGTTTGACCCAAAACCGGTGTAAAAAAAAGTCGTCTTCACAGGCCTGAAAAAAAAACGAGAACTATTGGCCTCCGCTCGGTGTCGAGGGGCAAGGGTTTCTTGCGCCGCCTCCGCACCCTGTACCGCGCCGCCTCCGCACCCGACCCCGACGGTCCCTCCCCCTCCCTCTCCCCAACCACTCGTCGAGACCT